TAAAAATCCTTTAAAATGAGTCCAAACTCGACATATTTAACTTTAATATTAATGGAAATACAATCACTTCCGGTTTGAAACGTCAAAGTCAATTTTGACATATTTGTCATCTTCATTAAAAAACCTTTAAAATGAGTCCAAAGATGACGCACTTATTTCAAAAAACAAAAAAGTTAGAATAAAAAACGTTAAATCCGAAGTTAGCAACAATGAAGAGAGCAATTTAATTATCAAATATTAATACCAACCTTAATTTTTAATTTTTTTTATTGTATTTTTGTTTTTGTGATAAATTTTAAGACATTTTATAAAAATTAAGAATTTGTAAAAATGACATTGACATTTCAAACCGGAAGTTGCTTATATCTCGACTAATATTGGAATTAAACGTATCATGTTTGGGCTCATTTTAAAGGATTTTTCACGACAGTTACAAATATGTCAAAATTGACGTTGACATTTCTAATCGGAAGTTGACCATAACTTCATTAATATTGAAGGTAAATATGTCGTGTTTGTACTCATTTTAAAGGATTTTTAATAAAGATTACAAATATGTTAAAATTGAGGTTGAAATTTTAAATCTGATGTTAGTTATCATATAATAGACAAATGGATAACTTCATGGTGTTCTTTTATCATGTATTCTTTATTAAAACAAAACATTAAAATGAGTTCAAACATGATGACTAACACTAGTCAACGTCAATATGTTTGAGTTGGATAACCTTATTTATAACCAATGATTAAAGGAGGTTTATTCTCTCACCTACCACACCGGCTGCTTATCCCGATAATTCTTTGGTCCTTAACTTTGTACAGCCAGTACTCACACCTACTTATAACCAATACTCAACGGACCTTGGGATATCATATTATTATTCAATAAAGTTAGCCTAACAGCTATCACCTCTTCCGTTTTTGATACCCAATTTTAAACACATGCTGATTGCCAACACAATTCAAAAAACGCTCATTTTCCCTCTCATTTCCTTCTAATTATTTGCTTACAATTGCAACGTGTGATAAATTATACCATACATCAGCTTTTATTAATGGATCAATAGCCATATCTAAAGCTCTTTGAAAACATGCCAATACCAAATCTAAGTTTTGAGAATATAAACAACACAGCCCCAAGTTGTTAAAAAGTTCCGCTGTATAAACACCCATCGCTAAAATCCGCCTTAAAAAAAATGATGTGTTAAATTAATGTAATACACAAACAAAAATAATACCTATAATATCTTAAAGAAAACTCAGGTTGGTTATTATAAAAATGATAAACACCAATCGAAGCTATAGCTTCAGCATTCATCGCATCTTCGCTAACTATGTTTCGATAAAACTTGATTGAACTTTGCATATCTCCTTGGAGTTCATAAAGTCTTGCGATTTCCGTTAGGATCGAAACGTTATTTGGGAATATTTCTAAACCGGATTTACAAACGTCTTGTGCAGATAATGGTTGGTCTAAAAGACAATGAATAAAAAAAAGTTAAACAAAAAATTTCTACGAACCAAGTCTGATATAAATTCTTGTTAAACGTATAAAAGTTTCTATATGATAATGTTGTTTTAAAGCACTTCTAAGTTGCTGTTCGGCATCCCGAATCAAATTCAAGCTACAATAACATTTTGCTAATTGAACTTTCCACCACCAATCTTTAAATTCGCAGAATTGTGTCGCTTGTACCGCTAAGTCCATCGCAACTTGAACGTTTCCTTCGTGGTAATAAAGATATTCGAAAAGTGGTTTTGATAAATTCTTATCTTTAGCGTGTTTCGTTATATTTAATCGAGAAATTTGAATGAATGGGCCACTTTTTGATGAAAGCATAACTGCTGTGCCTAATCTTATTGATCTTGCTGATTGACTCGTTAATGGTCTTGCAGTTTTTAATCGATCCAAAGCAGAACCAGGTCTATTTTGTGTGTTTGGTCGAACCATACCAGATATTGGTCTACCAGTGGTTGTTTTTGGTCTTGCTCTAATAAAAAAGAAATATTAATAAAATAATCAAATTAAAATGGGGATTTTTACGTTGATGTATTTTTCGATAAATTCCCATTTTTTATTGATGTTCCAGGTCTTGGTGCACTAGCAACAACACTTTCCTCAAAAACATCAGAATCCATATCTTCAACATCCAAATCATCCACATAAATCCTTTGAGTTAAAGCTCTCATTTTTAAACACCAAACAGCTTGATCTAACGGTTGCTTTTCTAACATTTCCGTACATAAATCAACACATTTATCATAGTTTCTTCGCCGAAATTGGCTTAAAGCGTTAAATAAAGGATCCATTTATTCTTTATACTCTAAATTATATCGTGTTTGTATACATTAGTGTTTATAGCAACGCAATCGATTTTGACGTTTGGCGCCGTCAAGAGGCGCCAATTTTTAAAACATGGAACATAGTTCTTCCTCTAAAAGAGATAACGAAAACGCTTTGCATAAATTATTAGATGAGAATCATTTAGTGCGAATTCACAAATTCTTTTTACGCGAAGAAAGTGGACAATTGGATATAAATCAGTTGAAGCAAGTGCTTCACGATGTTGCTAAATTGGATTTTGACCCCGATAAGTTCGAAGTAGTTTTTCGAAAAATCAATATAAAACGAGACGGTTTAGTTACCTGGGACGAGTTTATATCTCATTTAATTCTCAATTTTAAAAATCAAGACGTCGTTGCGGAATATCAAGATTTAGATCCCCCAATTTCGAAACCACCAAGAATCTTAAAAAGTTATCATCGCCATCCGATAAATCGAATCACTTTCAGTCCCAACATGAAACCCGATAGAAGTGTTAATTTTTCCGATGGAAGTTACGTAACTTGTAGCAGAGACGGAGATATTAATTATTGGTCTTTGGATTTTAGCTTAGAGAGATCCGTGCAATCGAAATGTTTAGATTTAAAGGTTGCAACTACATGGGTAACCGATTTGGTGTGTTTACCGGATGTTAGTGCGGTTTGTACATCAAGTACTGAACGAGATATTCGATTTTACGATACTTCCGCTAGAAAATTCGATATTAGGGTAATTTTTAGTTCGTTGGATTACGCTGTTTGTACAATGCATTATGTTATTGCTAAAGATGCGGAATCGGAATCAATGCTTTTATTGGGCGATATGGGAGGAAATGTAAAGGTTATTTTGTTTAATTCACTCGCTAGAGGGCCGTTTAAAAGTAAATTGGGTGAACCTTTAATGAGGGCGAGGTTTGTATTAAAATTTTTATTAAAATCGAGTGTTTATTTTTTGTTTTTTTAAGGTATGATGCTTTAGTGAAGGGTGTAGTACCGGGATTTCGACTTGTTGAGTTCAAGAACGTCCACTCAGATTGGGTACAACAAGTTTCTTATTACCCGGGTTTATCGATGATAGCTTCTTGTGCTGTTTGCCCAAAAGTTTCAGTGCAATTACGCGATCTTAACGAAAATAAAGGAATTTATATTTATAAAATGACTAGAGGAGCTTATTGCTTTACTTTCGCCGATGGTATTCATCTCATGGCAACCGGAAGTCCGGATTGTTTGGTGAAAGTTTGGAATATTTTTGTGCCGAGACGACCCAGCGTAATTTTCCAAGGTCATCATTCCGGAGTTGTTTCCGTTGTGTTTCAAGATGATGCAAAAATTCTTTGTTCGATTTCTACTGATAAATGTATTAAAGTATGGGATGTTGCCGCGCAGTGTTGTTTGCAAACTTACACTGGTTTGCCATCGGAACTTGGGGAGCACACGGATTTAACTGTTTTGTATAACCCAGATACTCGGCAACTTTTAATCGGCATGGTTATGGTTGCTATTGTGCCATTATGCCCAACGCAAAGTGGTGAACACACCGATGGGAATACTCATTGTAGTGCTATTTCTGTTTTATTATACAACCCATTATTTGAAGTAAAATTTTAATCCTTGTGTTAATTAATAATAATTATTGTTTTGCAATCAGGTGATTGTAACATGCGGTTTAGACAGTTTCATAATAGTTTGGGATCCATGGAAAGGAAGGCGAATGTCCGTAGTAAAAGAGGCTCACATAAGAACTTTACACGGCAAAGTCCACCCCGTAGAAATAACAGCAGCAACCTTCGACCCTGGTTATCAGCTTCTTCTAACAGGAGCCCATGATGGATCCTTAAAAACATGGAACTTCAATACCGGAACATGCATGCGAAATATGCGCATAGAAGATAACTGCGAAGTCACCGGAGTTGTTTGGATTAAAGGAAGAATTTTAGCGATCGGTTGGAATAGGCACGTAACAGAATTCGCTGATAGTGGTGGTCACGCAGGACCTGGTGGAGCGTTCAGTAAAAGCTGGGAGACGAATCACACTGAAGACGTTTTATGTTCATCCGCAAGAATTCCTCAAACTTTAGTTACCAGTTCTTATACTGGAGAATTGGTTATGTGGCAATTAGAAACCGGACAAGCATATAAGAGATACAACGTCACCGATCCTACGCATAGAATTAAATTGCATTACACAAAAGAGAAACAATCAAAAAAATTTAAAAAGGCTAATACTAAAAAACCTTTGGTTGTGCATTTAGAAGGACCCGCGAAAACAATGGAACATCCAACGTCGGCAGTTAGTACGGCTACATCAAAGATTCCAGGTGTAAAAGCTCGAAGATTAACAGTTGTTCTCATGCCTAAAACAACAATAGCAATAAGAGGTTTAGCAATAAGAGCTATGACTTTTTTAAGTTCACGACCAATGCTTCCCCATGTAGGAACCTTATTGGTTAGTTTAGAAAACGGAGCAATTCAAGTTTGGTCTCATCATAACAGCGGGGGATTTATCACCGCTTTTTATGCTATACATAAAGGTGGAGATTATGTTGTTTCTATGTGTACCGATGAACAAGATGAATATTTATTTACAGGTATTAAAACTTTTTATTTTTTAATATTATTTAAATGAAAATTTTGTTTAGGCACAACAAGTGGTTACATTAAAACTTGGCTAATGAAAGATTATTGTACTGGGGAGGATGTTAAAGTATGCATGCCACTTTATAGAGTAAAATTTCCATTTATGTGGAGAGATTTGTTTGAGGGAAAAGCTAAACGAGCCAATAGGGGTCAAGAAAAACCTACTCTTTTAAATAGTTACAGAGGACATAGGATGTTGGTTTCTGCATTAGCTTTTATGGATAAACCTCAAATATTAATAAGGTAAAAACTCGTTTGTATGTATTAATCTGACTATTTTTAGAAAATTGGTTATAATGTTGAAATGTTGAATGTTAAATTGGTTTAATTTTGCCAGATACAGAAAATAAAAAATTCTGCCAGTAAAATGATACCTGAGAATTTTTGGCTGAGTTTTTCTGGGATTGGGTTGCTTTAGGGTTGAGTTGGATGGCTTTAGCGTTAGGATACTTACAATGATTGAGTTGGTTTGTGGGCAAATTGACTAGCTTTGATGTTGGATAACTTATTGGTTGAGTGACTTTGAGGTGGAACTGCTACGTAGATGGTTGCTTTGTGATTGTGTTGCTTTATGATAGAGTTGATGTGGTATTTGATAGGTTAAGTTTGAAGATGGGCTGTTTATAGTTGAGTTGTTGTAGGGATAGATTGGTTTATTTCGGAGATGAATAACTTTGTAGCTGTATACTTTAGATTTTAGTTGCTTTGAGGTTGGGTTGAGTAGTTTCGTTGCTATAGAATTAAATTACTTGGTAGTTAAGTTGCTTTGGGGTTGGCTTATTTTCTGGTTGAGTTGTTTTGGAGTTGGGTTGAGTCAATTTGTGGTTGAGTTCCTTTGGGTTGCTTTCGATTGCTGTAGGTTGGCGTGCTATAGTGCTGGATTATTTAGTAATTAACACGTTCGCTATCGGCGTCCAGTCTACTGGACTGAAAGGTTTTTCGTGGCTACAGGTCAATGATGGATATACAGAAAGACAAATCCGCGATGAAAAGGTGTCGCCAGTGTAGCAGAGGTGGAGTTTACAAGAAATCCAGATACAACAGCCCGATATGTCCAGAAAACCCTGGTTTATGCATAGATCCATGCTTCAGAATCTGGCACAGTGCACAATAATTATGTTTTGTAATATTTTGGGGTAGCCGTAGTATTCATTTTGGTTTGTATAGCACATTACGTTGTATTTAGAAAAAAAAAAGTAGAGACTTTGAAGAAATTCGGATGTGGCAGAACGCTGTTACAGAACTTAGAAATTCAAAGTCCAGTAAACTGGATCAAGTCTTTTTTTACAAAAACGCCATATACAATAAACAAACATGTAAATAACACAAACCTGAATCTAGAAATCAAAGAAACTACGAATGGTACACGGGAAAAAGTTAGTTTAGGGATCTGCTACCTTATAGTTGAGATACTCTGCTTGTGGATTGTTTATGGATTGAGTTACTTTCTAACTGAGTCACTGACTTCATCAGTGGACTACTTAAATTTATTGATCTTGATTCATATCAGACACAATTAGATTTTGCAACTCTTAGGAGTTTACAAGGATTTCCTGTCATGTAGAAGAAACTCCATTGAAATGAGTTCCATTAATTTCCAAGTTCCATATCCAAGTGTATTCACGAATTTCAATGATATCTAAGGATTTCTGGGTTTTAATTACATAGCGCACAATTTGCGAAGCATATTCATAAATTTCTAGAAGATTTCCAGTAAATTTCTCGAAATTCTAATATTTGGAGTTGAAGCTTTTGATTTGGATTATATTTTGGCTGAGTTCTTTTCTGATTGAATTGATTTGAGGATTAGTTACTTCGGGGTTGGGTTGTTTTATGGTTGAGTTGCTTTGGAATTGGATTGGTTTGCTTTGGACATGACTAACTTTGTAGGTGTATGCTTTAGATTTTAGTTGCTTGTTTTAGGTTTTAGTTTAGAATTTTATTGGTGAGCTTCAAGTTGTATCCAGTCTTAGTGGAGCTTCTATTCAACAAATGTTGCACGAACCTAGATAAACGGGAGGGAAAAGCTAAACGAGCCAATAGGGGTCAAGAAAAAGCTACTCTTTTAAATAGTTACAGAGGACATAGGATGTTGGTTTCTGCATTAGCTTTTATGGATAAACGTCAAATATTAATAAGGTAAAAACCCGTTTGTATGTTTGTATGATACTCTGCTTGTGGATTGTTTATGGACTGAGTTACTTTCTAGCTGAGTCACTGATTTCATCAGTGGACTACTTAAATTTATTGATTTTGATTCATACCAGACGCAATTAGATTTTGCACATCTTAGGAGTTTACAAGGATTTTCTGTCATGTAGAAGAAACTCCATTGAAATGAGTTCCATTAATTTCCAAGTTCCATATCCAAGTGTATTCATGAATTTCAATGATATCTAAGGATTTCTGGGTTTTAATTACATAGTGCACAATTTGCGAAGCATATTCATAAATTTCTAGAAAATTTTCAGTAAATTTCTTGAAATTCTAATATTTGGAGTTGAAGCTTTTGATTTGGATTATATTTTGGCTGAGTTCTTTTCTGATTGAATTGATTTGAGGATTAGTTACTTCGGGGTTGGGTTGTTTTATGGTTGAGTTGCTTTGGGATTGGATTGGTTGACTAATTTTGTAGCTGTATACTTTAGATTTTAGTTGCTTGTTTTAAGTTCTAGTTTAGAATTTTATTGGTGAGCTTCAAGTTGTATCCAGTCTTAGTGGAGCTTCTATTCGGCAAATGTTGCACAAATCTAGATAAACATTAGAAATCGCATTAGCCAACTTTAAGAGTCTCGGCAAAGGCACCAACGAGTGCCAAGAGTTATCTAGTTTTTGCATTTGAGTTTGCAGAGCGAAAAAGCATCGATTTCTACGAATGCAGAGGTTTAGACTAGTTTCTCTTGGATTAGTTGGTGGGGTTGGGCTACTTTGTTGAATTCTTTTGGACTTGGGTAGAGTTAATTTATTTTTAATTGCTTTTAAGGTTGAATTGCTACCGGGTTTCGTGGGCTTCTTTGTGATCGAGTTACAGTGTAGTTGTGTAACACAAACCTGAATCTAGAAATCAAAGAAACTACGAATGGTACACGGGAAAACTGCTGCAGAAGGCGCGGTAGCGAACGTGTTAAGTTAGTTTAGGGATCGGCTACCTTATAGTTGAGATACTCTGCTTGTGGATTGTTTATGGACTGAGTTACTTTGTAGCTGAGTCACTGACTTCATCTGTGGACTACTTAAATTTGTTGACCTTGATTCATACCAGACGCAATTAGATTTTGCACATCTTAGGAGTTTACAAGGATTTCCTGTCATGTAGAAGAAACTCCATTGAAATGAGTTCCATTAATTTCCAAGTTCCATATCCAAGTGTATTCATGAATTTCAATGATATCTAAGAATTTCTGGGTTTTAATTACATAGCGCACGATTGAGTTACTTTCTAGCAAAGTTGCTTTGGAGTGGGATTGAGTGCCATTACGTTCATTTCTATTTGGGTTGCTTCAGGATTTAATTGGCTTCTTTTGGGTTGCTACAGAGTGGCGAGATATAGTGTTGGATAATTTAGTAGTTAAATTGTATTAGTATTGAATGATTTTACAGTTCAGTTATTGTGCAGTTATGTTACCTAGATTAGGAATTGAGTTGCTTTAGGGTTGAGAGATTACTTCGAAGATTGGTTTCTTTACTACTCGAACGATCTTTTTAGGTTTTTTTAGAATCAATTTATAAAAATTTCTTTTTGTTATAGTGCCAGTGCAGATTATAGTGCAAGATTGTGGACTTTATCTGGCAGATATTTAGGCACATTAGGCACCTTTAAAAAATGGAAACCATTAGATCCGGAAGTTCCTCCAGGTGACGATTTTGAATATACAATTCCCCCAGATATTTCAAGAGTAAAAAGCATGACAACGTTTAAAGTAAATCAAAGTTCGAAATAACAAATTAATTTTAATAACAATTTCATTAAAAGGTTTTAATGGGTGGTGATATCCCACACAGATTAACCGCCAAACAACTCGCTAAAATGCAAGAAAAAGTTGTCGATATTGAAGATTACACAAAGGGGATTTACGGGCATAGATTAGAGGATCCAATTCTCGGCAACTTTTATCATTTACCAGAAAGAAAAACGCACAGACATGAATTTGAATTGGATACAACTTTTTCATATGTAAAATTTGTTTGTAATAATTTCTTTTTTTATAATTTTTTTATTTTTTAGATACCTGTTTATCAACACATGGTAACTGAACCATTAAACGAAGTTCCTAAACCGAGAGATGACCCGGAACTGAAAAAACAAAGAGTGAAATTGATGACGCAAAATAAATGTGAACCAGCTGTGTGTAAAGGAACTCCAAAACATTAAAAAATAATATATTATTTATTATTTTATTTCAAATCATTTTATTTTTATGATTATTACAATATTTATTTCACAAAAATTCTCTTTTAATTTAAAACAACAACAACTGATTCCCCCGGCGATAAAGAAATCGATTTGAACGAGACGCTTTCAATTTTCGAATTGGTTGAAGGCCCAACAACGATTTCGCCCCCATACAAACTCTTTGATAAATCCCCAGATCGATGATTAGTTCCAAGATTACTAACAACAACGAAATTCTTTCTCCTCGGATACCATCTTTGAATAACAACCAAATCGTTTTGAAAGTATTTAATTTCCGCGTTCGGTTTGCTAACACCGTCTTTAAAAACGCTTCTCATATAAATCGAAGGCGAATCCTCCCTTAATTGAACCATTTTAGTAACTAAATCAAATTGGCGAAAATTCACTTCAATGGGATCTCCGTGCATCCAAGGAAGAACTTCTTTCCTTGTAAATTTAACATCTGGGTGTTCCCAAAGCATCGCGGCTAATTGATGGAGATTTTCTAAATCTTTTCTTTCACCATGTGGATCGGAAAGTTGTTTAATCCCAATCTCATCGCCGTAAAAAATCGAAGATGTCCCAGGTAACATCATTTGGAGAAGACTCGCGCCCAAAGTCCCATTACTATGATTTAGCCGATTCGCTAAACGAATTGAATTCACATTTCCCATGTTCCAATGAATCCATGGCGCCCATTGCGTTGAGAATAAAGTACCATTTAGTAAAGACGCGATTTCTTTCGATAATGCATCAACCCCTAATTCAACATGCAATTGAACGTCTAATAAAGCAACGCTGTTTAAAATAACGTTTTTAAGATTACTTGGAGCTAATTTAAAAACGTTATAATCAACAATAATCGGTTTTCCCTCCCCTAAAATCGTTTTCCACCTCCTTAAAGAAGCCGTAAAATGTTCATCATGAACGTAACGTTCTAAATCTTTTAAATAAAACCCATCAACACCTTGGCGAATCCAATAAATAATCGCTTGAGTGATTTCGTCGTTTTGATTCGATAAAATTAAGTTTTCGCTTTTTAAAAATTCGATGGAAGGTCCGTTATGATCTGTTTCGTTCGCTGGTTGTATTTCTTCAGGAAATGATTGCAGCTTTTTTACGTGAGGCCAAAGTGGTAAATCGAGTATTAAAGAAATGTTGTTTAAACGTAAAGAGATCGCTAATAATTTAAAATCTTGTAACGTTCCTAATTCGGGGGCTAATTCGATTAAGCTCGACGAGTTTTTGTAATCTTCCGGATAATTTTCGCTTTTAAAAATTGAATTTAAACGAACGGCTCGTACATTCAACTGTTTTAAGTAACTCGCTTTCAAGGAGATCCCTTTAAAATCACCGATTCCATCGCCGTCGGAATCTTTAAAACTCGCCGGAAATATTTCGTAAAAAACGCTTCCTTGGTACCACTCGGTTTGTGGGTTACAAGTTTTTGGTAGTGATGAAATCATTGCTATAACTAAACCCAACATTGCGACTAAACCCGAAAGAAAAAGCCATAAAGAAATTTTACGAATTAATGGCCAATTCCAGGTCATAAAAAAATAATCTTGTGGTGGTTTTTTAAATGTTAATTGAAGGGGTTGGACTTTACCAATTGTTTCCTAAAAGAAATTGTTAAATTTGGATTTAAAAATTTTAATTAATCTTACTTCACAAGCACTATTTTCATCTTTAGTGATATGGTGATAATTGTTATGTTTATGATTCAATAGTGTTGTACATGCTGGTTCAGCTAAAGCTGAGGAACTTGATGATACGGAATCGGCAGCTTTATCATCATCTAAAATTTAATTTCTAATTATTTAAAATTAATTTATAACAACCCTACCTTTAACATGTTGTAATTTATTAGCTAATTCTTCGCCAATAACGAATGATGGTTGATCGGTTTCCGGTAAAGGATTGATTAGATCATTTGTGGGTGGAGAAGGTGTTAATAAAGGACAAGTAGAAGCAACTTCATCCGTTAAAAATGAATTTGTAGGTGAACCTGGTAGGGTGGTCGCTGTTGGATCAACTCGTAAAAATCCTTCCATTATCTTTCCTCTAAAATCTTCCACCATTCAGAATAAATTTACTAAAATTTTTTGTCTAAATCGTAGAAAAATACGTTATTGTTTAACTTTGGACTCATACTAATTGAGGGTTATTAATAGATTAAACGAAGAGAGGTTTTCTTACCAACGTATGATGACGAACAGCTGAGTTGATTGAAATCGGTACCGATGTGAGGCGACGCAGGGCGTCGTCAGGCGTCGATTTTTAATTGGAGCAATTCAAATATAGATGGTGTTACTTATTAGAACACGTTAACTATATCCGCTAGTATTGAAAGTGAATGCGATTGAAATAATTCTTATCTAATTTAAGCTCATGTTGCATTTTATTTTGATGACTAATAAGAAATTTGATTCTTAATTCGTTTAAAAATCATCTCAAATAAAAACTTGAACACAAAAAGAAATATTTAATAAATAGCTTTGATACACTTAACATCAATTCTTCATCAGTGGATATCACTGTTACTTAACTTTATTCCCATCTGACAGATCATCATGTTATATTATAATAAAAATATATATATATTAAAAATATTATATTATTTTTAAAACGAACAAACTTAAGCTGAAAGTTGTTTAAAATTAGATTTATAACAACTTTTCTTAATAAAACTTTTTCATAAAATAAGTCTCTTCACTGATTCACTAATTTCCAACAAACGATAATTATCAACTTTATCGAAAAATGTTTCAAATAAAAACTGCTTGGAATTAGATTTATAACAACTTTTCTTAATGACATTTTTTGTTATTTTCATAAAAAAAGTACCTTCACTGATTCACTAATTCTCAAAACGATTTTATCAAAAAAATGTTTTAAATAAAAGTTATTTAAAATTAGATTTATAACAACTTTTCTTAATAAAACTTTTTGATATTTTCATAAAATAAGTCTCTTCACTGCTTCACTAATTCACAAAATGATTTTATCAAAAAAATGTTTTCAATAAAAGTTGTTTATAATTACATTTATAACAACTTTTCTTAATAAAACTTTTTGATATTTTCATAAAATAAGTCTCTTCACTGATTCACTAATTTCCAACAAACGGTTATTATCAACTTTATCGAAAAATGTTTCAAATAAAAATTGCTTAAAATTAGTTTTATAACAACTTTTCTTAATAACATTTTTTGATATTTTTATAAAATAAGTCTCTCCACTGATTCACTAATTTCCAACAAACGGTAATTATTAACTTTATCGAAAAATGTTTCAAATAAAAACTGCTTGGAATTAGATTTATAACAACTTTTCTTAATGACATTCTTTGTTATTTTCATAAAATAAGTCCCTTCACTGATTCACTAATTCTCAAAACTATTTTATCAAAAAAATGTTTTAAATGAAAGTTATTTAAAATTAGATTTATAACAACTTTTCTTAATAAAACTTTTTGATATTTTCATGAAATAAGTCTCTTCACTGCTTCACTAATTCTCAAAATGATTTTATCAAAAAAATGTTTTCAATAAAAGTTGTTTATAATTACATTTATAACAACTTTTCTTAATAAAACTTTTTGATATTTTCATAAAATAAGTCTCTTCACTGATTCACTAATTTCCAACAAACGGTTATTATCAACTTTATCGAAAAATGTTTCAAATAAAAATTGCTTAAAATTAGTTTTATAAGAACTTTTCTTAATAACATTTTTTCATATTTTTGTAAAATAAGTCTCTCCACTGATTCACTAATTTCCAACAAACAATAATTATCAACTTTATCGAAAAATGTTTCAAATAAAAATTGCTTGGAATTAGATTTATAACAACTTTTCTTAATGACATTTTTTGTTATTTTTATAAAATATGTCTCTCCACTGATTCACTAATTTCCAACAAACGGTAATTATTAACTTTATCGAAAAATGTTTCAAATAAAAACTGCTTGAAATTAGATTTATAACAACTTTTCTTAATAACATTTTTTACTATTTTCATAAAATAAGTCCCTTCACTGCTTCACTAATTCTCAAAACGATTTTATCAAAAAAATGTTTTAAATAAATGTTATTTAAAATTAGATTTATAACAACTTTTCTTAATGAAACTTTTTGATATTTTCATAAAATAAGTCTCTTCACTGCTTCACTAATTCTCAAAATGATTTTATCAAAAAAATGTTTTCAATAAAAGTTGTTTATAATTACATTTATAACAACTTTTCTTAATAAAACTTTTTGATATTTTCATAAAATAAGTCTCTTCACTGATTCACTAATTTCCAACAAACGGTTATTATCAACTTTATCGAAAAATGTTTCAAATAAAAATTGCTTAAAATTAGTTTTATAACAACTTTTCTTAATAACATTTTTTGATATTTTTATAAAATAAGTCTCTCCACTGATTCACTAATTTCCAACAAACGGTAATTATTAACTTTATCGAAAAATGTTTCAAATAAAAACTGCTTGGAATTAGATTTATAACAACTTTTCTTAATGACATTTTTTGTTATTTTCATAAAATAAGTCCCTTCACTGCTTCACTAATTCTCAAAACGATTTTATCAAAAAAATGTTTTAAATAAAAGTTGTTTATAATCAAATTTATAACAACTTTTCTTAATAAAACTTTTTGATATTTTCATAAAATAAGTCTCTCCACTGATTCACTAATTTTCAACAAACGGTAATTATCAACTTTATCGAAAAATGTTTCAAATAAAAATTGCTTAAAATTAGTTTTATAAGAACTTTTCTTAATAACATTTTTTGATATTTTTATAAAATAAGTCCACTGATTCACTAATTTCGAACAAACAATTACCGTTTGTTGCATAAGTTGTCTTGGGATTGGGTGGCCTTGTAATTGAGTTGTTTTTCAGCGTTTTAGGATTTAGATTTGATTAATTTTTTTTTAGAATTTCATTGGCTTGCTTTTTAAATAATTTTACAAATTGTGGAAATTAGATCCATGATTTTATAATATTGATGAGCGCACGAGATTCGGAACATATTACAAAAATCTAAAATTAATCACATTTATTTAGGAAAATAATAATCTTTTTTTGAAATAAAATTAAATATTTATGTTGTTGTCTTGATTACTTTGATTATACTTTTCAAAATATTTAAACAAGCGAAATATAGGAAAAGTTCCATGTAAACCCAAATAGATAATGTATCTACAATGGCAAATTCCAACACTATATATATACATTACTTAACATCCTTTTAGTTATCGTAAGGAAAAAAGGTTGTTTTTTTAGATTACTTTTACCCCACATTATCTTAAATGTTGAGTTAACAACAAATAAAGAGAAATCTTTGATTAATTAACGAAATCGCAATTAAAAACTTTATTAAATTTATGCATATGTTGTATGATACTTTAAAACGCAATTTAAAGTTATCATTCAATATTGGTTTTGATCAAATTGACGTAGTTTTCTGTATAATCACAAAAATTACATCGTGCGTAATTTTATGCGCATAAAATTACATATTTATTAGAATAATATATGTAACACGAGAAATGTTAAGTATATTTCAACAGTTCAATCTTTTTAACAGAAAAATAACTTTATCCAAATAATTTGTTGCACAATCGGTTCCAAAGTCTTCTTTCCTAATTTACCCTAACTAAATCGAGGCTAAACGGAGTATTTTGAGTAAAATTATAATAATAGCTTTTTCTCGTTTCTATCACCAACATTATCCGTTTAAGAAAAAACAGCCTTCCTTGTTGGTTTTACATCAAAATTCGACTATCATCATTTTAAATAGATAACGGTGTGACCTATGACATTGCTATTTGCTAAGAGAATACCGCCTCATGAGTGCGTGATTCTGATACCCCTTATCCCCAAATAAGAAAGAATTTAGACTGGACACTTCAGTCTGTGTCGTTCTTGTGACCAAATTTCATCGATTTATTCATAATTTTATTTTTAAAGGTAATTTTATTTAATTTAGTTGATTAAGTTCTACTAAAATTATTAGATTAAAATAATATAATAATACAAAATTAGTATATATTATATTAATATACGTAAGAAAACAATATTAAAAGTTCATCGTTTTTGTTTATAAAGTTTAAGGTCTCGTGCGAATAACAATAATAAACGAATCGATACATAATCTTAAATTAATATTCAAAACAACCTCTCGTGTGGAGAAACGTTTACAGAAATTGTCAATCAAAAAGTAAACTTATTAATTTCGTCATTATTTATTAATTAAAATACTGTTACTAATCAAATTTTGATTTAATTACATATAAAACTCGGAAATTTTTAAATCTTTATTTTATACGTGGAAAAGTCAATAGGTCTTTGATAATCAAATTCTTATCGGCGCGTGTTTCATAATGCGGTACTTTTATTAATTTTGGTTTTTTTCTCTTAAAATTTTTTTTAGTTTTAAACCAAATATTTGTTTCTTCTAATTTGTAAGAAATCCCTTTTTTAAGAAAAACTCGAATAAACATTAAGAGTCGTTTAAAAAATAATCAATAGTCTAACTACTAAATAAATACCTTTTCTTACTGGTTTTTACGAAAACTTTATCATTCATTGTCAAGACTTACTTTCATTTAAGTACGTTTAAAGGAATATCAATAATCATGGAACACAGTGATGTAATTAAATCAAAGTTAAAAAGCTTTAAATAAGAAATTATTATTTTTTAAATATATTTTTTTTTAATTTTAGATACATGGATTGTAGTATAACTATTTTAAGTATACGTTTTCTTGAATTGTACGGTGAAGACGATAGGTGACAATGGATTTTATAGCTGGTTGTTTAGGAGGTAAGATTAAAATTAAAATTGATCTAAATATATACATACACTTCAATTTATTTATCTCGAATAAGAGATCAAAAGCACTCTAATTTAGAACTTTTCATCATAACTCTTAGGAGTTAGAGATGAACCCTGAGCTTTTGCTAATTCGTGATTTTTTGATTCTAATTTTATGGCTGCCAACCAAATTTCTTCGCTGTTTGAGTTAGCTTGGACTAGCTAATATAATTAACTTCGCTCTTTGAGCAATGAGCTACCGCTCTTTGTAATAAACTTTCCAAGCTTTCTCGAGTACCATGATTTTTTTCTAAATAACTGGCTCTTAACCATATCGACTTTTTTCACCTTGTGATGTACAGGGTGGTTCAAATTCGATGTCCGAATAGGCTAACTCGGAAACTATAAGAGTTAGAAAAAAAGTAGCTTACATGTCATGATCTCGTTTTTCGAGAAACTGCTAATGCCGAAAACCTCATAGCGCTATCGTCTTTTGTTTTTCCGCTAGAGGCTAAAATTGAAAATATCGTACAACCAGCAAGCGCAATTATCTTGGTTATTATTATAGCTGGAGTATTATAACTAAGACATTATATGGACACTTTTTTACAGAGAATTTGATGACGTAGTCAAAAAAATTTTTTCGGTTTTAGATTTTGAGATATTATCACAATGTTCGTTTTTTTAAATGGAAACAACCACTGATTATTCGCTTAATAAATTCGTTATTTTTTTCTGATTACAAAAATATAGGGTTTAACAGGTCTATTTGTTATTGTTTTAGAATAAAGCAAAAAATTAACTTTTCTTTTAGTGTCTTCCAAGAAATTAAATTTACAGTTTCCTGTAAATTACGGTACTATAATTAAAAATTAAAAAAACATATTTCTGATATTTGAAACAAATATATTTGTTGAACTATTTAATTTATATATGTAATTATACAAAAGTTGGAATAGATTGCATTATTTCACATTTTTTATTAATATTTAATATTATTCTTAAATGACTTAATAAATTATTGATAGATGGCGCCATATGTTTTTTTTTAATTCAAATAAACAGCAACATTTGTATTCAAAAATTTTCTGAAGTGTCACTTTAAAAATCCTGTTTTTTAAGATGGATTACGAAAAGTT